TTTTCTTCCTCCTCCATCACCACCTCCTCCTCCTCTTCCCCCTCAATCTCTACCTATTTTTCTTCCTCCTCCATCACCACCTCCTCCTCCTCTTCCCCCTCAATCTCTACCTATTTTTCTTCCTCCACCACCACCACCTCCTCCTCCTCTTCCTCCTCCTCCTTCACTATCGCTCCATCTTCCTCCTCCTTTACCTCCTCTTCCTTCTCCTGCTGCTGCTACCGCCAAAATACGTAGACCTGCTGCTGCCATTGCTATGACAACCGGCTACTCAACTGCAGCAGTTACTGCTGTTGTTGCAACTGTTTCTACCATTCTTTTCTTTTCTGTTTCTACCATACTTTTCCATGACTACGGTTGGCGGTCAGTCACATCACACCTCGGCCTCTTCCCCCTCCCTGCCTCCCCACCTTCCCTCGGTCTGGTCAGAGCACAGATATAGCTGCAGTAATGCAGGCAGCTACGCAGACAAATCGAAACTGCAAAACGGAGCGCTCGCTCGTTCTCGGAGTGTCTCCGAAATTTGATTTCTGTATCCGGGTAGAGCTGCAGCTGACGCTACTTAACCCTCACAGTATGCTCTGCTCTGACCAGCATACGCGACTGCGTATTGATTGCATGTGCATATATATATATATCTTCACACCTGCCCGCAGGGTGGAGGTGGTAGTAGTGGTGGTGGGGGTGGGCTGGTAATAATTGGTAGTACGCTCACTCGTCATGTAGTCAACTGTAGATCCGCTGTGGCGTGATCGCCAGCATGTAGGCAGCGAGGGAGTGGGTCAGTGGTCTTGTTTTGACGGTAGATTTGTATCGGGTCCAATTTTGCAGTCACCTTGCTCGCGTGTTTCCTCGCGCTGCATACGTGTAGGCATGTATTACCGCCGGCGTGTCGGTGCGCGTCGGCCCGTGTGCACTGGCCCGCATTTGGCGATAGATTTACAATGCGCAGATCGCTCCTTGACCGCATTTTGACCATGTGTTAGTCGTATTTTGACCATGCAATTCTATGTTGACTGCATTGACTATGATGACGGTGATGACGATGTAGTGACCATGCGATAACCGTGCAATGACCTTTCAATTGCCTTTCAATGACCTATCATTGACCTGGCAAAGATCACGTGACGACCTTATAATGACCCTTCGATGCCCTTTGAATTGCTGTTCAATGACCTTTCATTGATCTTTTAATGACCTTTCAATTGTTGACCGCGCGATGACCATATGTTTATTGTCCGGCAGGTGGCTTTGCGATCGTGTTCCTCGTGCGCGGCGGAGTGACAAACAAGAGGCTAGCCCTGAAGCGCATGTTCGTCAACAGCGAGCTCGACCTGTCCGTAATGAAGCGCGAGATCCAGATCCTGGTGAGAGGGGATGGCGTGCGCGAATGCTCCGTTGTTATGAACGACCGCTCGCTAACGTTGACATTGGCAGCGATAATTTAAATTTTCAATCTGACAGTGGTAATATTTACTCGTCCTTTTCACCAACTTGTTTTTCCACTTACCTGCTGTATATGGCAGTGCATGCTTTAAGTATTATATATGTGTATATATATATATACTAGCTATTACCCGTCCTCCAGACGGGTTTGATTAGGGTATGATTTGAGGAAGGCGGTTTAACCATTTTTATTTTTGAAAATATCATTCTGGTACGAAGCATTATTAATAAGTCAAATTTAAAAAAAAAAGCAAAATGCATTGAGTAGTTTTGAAGATATATGTTCTTGAA